TTTCAGCTTGGCCAGAAAGGAAGTGCCTGCAAAGATGGGCCCATGGAGAGTATTGGTGAGATTAGCGTTAAAAGAAGACCAATACTTTGCATCAGGACAATAGAAAAGATGGCTTTAAGGCATGTCAAGAATCAGCAAGACCCCACTTACCATAGACTCAGAGATGCAAAAGTGTAAACCTTTCATTTTAAAAGAAAGCCCATGCTCCCTCTGCTGGAGAAGATCCCCCTAGGGAGTTAGTTCTCCAGGATTCATTTTATGATGCTCACCTATCCAGGCAGTCAGAAGACACTGCAGTCATGGTCCAAAGGGATCCAGCTAGTGCTCAAGTTAGTGTCAGACCTTGGCATCATCCACAAAGTCATGGAGGCTTCTGCACAGATTTCAAAAGAAGGCCTGGGAAGCCAGTCAGTGTGCCCCTGAGAGGGAAGTATGCAAAGCTGTGAGACTGAAGCAGAAGGAGCAGCAGAAACCTCAGTCACCTGGAGATGCCAAAAATGTAGAAGGTCTGCTGAGGAATACTGCAAGCAGCAGAGTTAGTCCAAGAGACTCCATGTAGGCTGCAACTGGCAAGGCCATAGTAGTGGGGCCACTCAAGCCCTTTGGAGTTCACTATTTGCCACAACCTACCCCAGGTGTTGGACATAGAGCTTCAGGATTTAATGTTTGCCCTGCTCATTTTGGTCCCATTCATTCTATCCCCCTATTTCTTCCTTTTGGAATGGGAATGGCTACCTTCTACCACTGAATGTTAGAAGTATTTACCTTTCATATTGATTTTTACAGGTGCTCAAAGCTAGGAATCTGCCTTGAGCCCTAAAAGAGACTTTGGACTTGGACTTTTCAAGAATGCTGGAACTGTTAAGATTTGGGGGAAGTACTAGAGATGGACTAAATGAATTTTGCATAATGACATGATGTGGCAGTGAGGAGTCACTTGTGGCCACGGAAACTTAAGGTTCAGATCTGCATCAACAGAGAAGAGCCACGTAATGAATTTTTAAAGATGAAAGAAAGTTTTGTTATGAAAGTACAGCAGATATAGTCAAACAATATATTACCAAATAATAAGGCAGGGGACAGCACTGAAGATGAAGGGGGATCCTCTGGGGAAGGATCTTGGATGAGATGGAACCTTCAGCAGACAAGATAGAAAACATCACCTCACACTCAATTTTTTAGTTTCTTAAGTCCTATGTCCAAACAAAAGTAACCTGATGCCAGCAGGCCTGTGTGGCTGGAAAGGATGATTCCCAGCCTTGGCTAGAGCCTGGGAATGGTCAATTCTTTGGGTAACAACAGTTATCTTTATATACTCCTTTTTCTCAAGTAGTAGTGAGCCTCCCTGTAGAAAGGCACACAACCAAGGTTATTTCAGTGAACACGCACATTCCAGATGATTCTTGTCACTTTAACCCTTTCTCTTACACATGGACATGAGTGTTTTGGTGGCAAGGGGCAGAATGTTATAGTTGAGATCTAAAATGTCCCCCAGAAGCCTCATGCATTTGAAAGGTGATTGGATTATGGTAGTGCTATACTTGCAATGCATCCATAGACGAGTTCAGTCCCTAAATGTGCTATTAGGAGGTGGAGGCATGATCTGGAAGGTTGTGTTCTTGTCCCCAGCTCCTCCCTTCCTGGTTGTCATGGATTAAGCAGCTTTCCTCTACCATACCCTTTCACCATGCTGTGTCTGCCCTGGAGCCAGCTGACGTTGGATTGAACCTACTGAAAACTGTGAGCCCAATAAACCTCTTCTTCTTTAAGTTGCAGGTGTAGATATTTTGTCCCTGAAACCAAAAAATCACTAATGTAATCACTATCAGGTTTTCTTTATGGTCATTTGTTTTTGTCATTCTGGGAATTAAAGCTAGGGCCTTGAACCTGCTAGGTAAGCACTTTAGTGTTGAGCAACATTCTCAGTGCACCACTATCAGTTTTTATAATTATTTCAATAATAGTATCACAAGTTCACACTACAAATAAATGTTTGATGTATGTCCAATTTAAACAATGGAATCACAGGACTGACAAATGTACTTTTGACATGAATGTTGGATGATGTTTTAATTTACATTAGCAAGTAAAATATCTCAGCCAGCTGGGAGGCTGAGGCAGGTGGATTGTGCATTTAATCTTCCCAGGCAACTTAGTAACTTAGTGAGACACTGTCCCAAAATAAAATAAATAAATAAAAAAGATTGAGATGTAGCTCAGTGCAAAGGCTCTGGGTTTAATCCTCAGTATCAAAAAGGGGTGAAGAGTTAAAATAAATGTATTTTGATTATGTAAATGACCTTTTTATTGAAATAAACAATAGTTTTCAAATACTGAAAGAACAGTTCCTATGTTAATCTGATTCCCATCACTGTGACAAAATGGCTAAGATAAATAATTTAAAGGAAGAAGGGTTTATTTTGGTTTCAGTTCACGGTCAGTTGGCTGAGTCACTTTGGGTCTGTGGTAGCACAGTACATAATGGTGGAAATGTGAGGCAAAGGCAACTGCTCACCTCATTGTGCCCAAGAAGCAAAAGGCAAAAGACACTGGAAGGAGCCAGCATCCCAGTATCCCCTTCAAGGGCATGTCCTCAGTGGCCTAACTTCCATCCACTGGTCCCCCCACCTACACTTTTGTTACCTCCCACAAGGGACAAGCTCACTGTGCTGTTAACACATGAGCCTTAAGGGGACATCAAAGATGAAACTATAGCAGTTCCTTAGGTGGGGAGTGGGGCATTCACAATGTGATGGCCTCATACAGGACATGTTTTAAGTTTAATCTCTGTAAACATTTTCACTCTCTTTTTTTCCCCACATTATCACTTTCTTAAGTCTACACACAACAAGTCACACTCTGCTTTGGAGCACTGGACAGTTTCCAAGGCATAAATTTTCTCATTGCGGCTGATTTCAAGGGAACAAAGTGACATTACCACAGACATAGTTGGAAAGAAATGTGCAGTATACTAAACAACTAAAGAGCATTTCCATATACCAGGTACAATATACAATCTTAAATGTGGGTGTAATGGTGAAATGGAGTAATATAATTAAAAAGTGATGAATTTTGAGTTTTTAACCTTTGTAAAATTTATTTTATGTAATTGGATTTTTAATAATGACAGTATTGAATTCTCTAGCTCATTAAACTGGAATTTTTAACAACTAACTCTTCATCAACCAATTCTAACAGGTCAGTAACTGCCCTGTTTTATCAGTGAGAAAATTGAATTTTAGAGAGGCTATGACTGACTTGCTCTAGTAACAGGGAACAGTGTCATAAAGTCACTTATATCCAAACCTCTCCTTTATACAGTGTTTCTGTTTAAAATGTTACTAGTGATTTGCTCACACATCCACATTCAAACATCTCAGTGTGAATGGATTTATGACTTGTTTCCTTCCTTTCCAATAGGTAAAATGGAGAACCTGACTAAGATGATAAAGAGAACATCTACTTAACAGTTGTGTTCAGGATACAACTTGATCTGTGCCCCCCTGGGATTTGGCCAAGTCAGAGACCAGCAATTGCCCAGCAAATGGTAGAAAGGATAGTTTTCGTTCTGTTTGTTTATGGTTTGTCATTTGGTGGTTTTTTAAAGTACATTTTCATTGTATTTAATGAAAACATGAAAATTTACTGTAGAGAACATAGCGAAGTACAAGTATTAAAAATTAAATGAAAGGGCCGGGGTTTAACTCAGTGGCACTGTACCTGCCTCGCAAGTGCAAGGTCCTGAGTTTGACCCCCGGTACCAAAAAAAAATCAAATCAAGTTTCTAGGAGAGAAAAAAAAACTCATCAAGAGTAAATTAAGTGCATGATGTTGCACAGCCGTAATCCCAGTACTCCTGGAGGCTCTGGCAGGAGGATCCCAAGTTAGAGTCCAGCCTGGGCAAATTAAGGACACCCTATCTCAAAACTTCAAAAAAATAAATAGGCCTGGAGAAGTAGCTCAATGTGAAGACACTAAGTCTGATCTATAGTACCACCAAAGCAGTCAAATCATTTCTCATTACATGAATGCCTGGGCCGCAAGTCTGGCCCACTCCTCCACGCTACTATTTTGAAATAGACCACGTTTCCTTTACTAACTATGAACTTGTGGCGCCTACTTATAACAGCTTTCCCGCTCCTACTTCAGGAAATTTGGGGCAAATTATTATTATACTGTACTCAGCATCCTAATGCCACCAGTCACAGATCGCTCAGAAGCAATTTTAATTTACATAGTGGAATTCCAATAGAAAAAGGCTCCAAACAGTTTTAGATACAGCAGGCTCAGGCAAAAAGCTTCACCTGATAGTTTGTAATAGCTAAAGCTTGGAAACAGCCCAAGTGCTCATCAACTGGAAACTGGATAAAGAAGATGTGGGTTTTTTTATAAAATGGAGTACTACTCAGCCATAAAGAACGAGAAACTAGAGACACTTATAGCTAAATGGGTGCAATATCGAGGCCATACTCTTAAGTGAAATAAATAGCACACAAGTGTGTAAATACCGAATAGTTTCTCTAGTGTGAGAAACTGAAAGTTTAAGTAAGGATTAAAATGATTAAAATGAAAAATTGATAATGTGAAATAGGAAGAAAAGGTCCAAAGGGGTAGGGTAAGTGGGAGGGGAAGGATAAAGGAAAGAAGGGAAGGGAAAAATTATGAGAAAATGAAAAAATGGAAACAAAGTCTTTGTAAATAAGAAAGCGTGGAGAGGGTGAAGGGAGCACAGGGAATGGGGAAAAAATAAGAACCAAGACACATCATGTACAGATACAAGCACCCAATGTTAAATGTAAATGTATTGTATACCTAAAATGTACCAATAAAAGAATTTAAGCAAAAAAAAAAAAAAAGAAAAAAAAGGGGCCGCCTGGCCAAGCTGGACAAAGTTCCAACTGGGTCACCTCATCCACAGACCGCCCAGACGAAAGTCACACATGCGCAGTTAGCCCCTCTTGTCACTGCTCAGGCCCGCCCCTCGGGACCTGAAGTTCCCAAAGCCGAGGAGCGTGGAGACGCAGACGCTTGGACTACGGCCGCGCAGGCGCAGTCGGGTGCCTTCACTGAGCCGGTGCTTTTTTTTTTTCTTTTTTTCTTTTCCTGGCTGGTCCGGAGTTCTTGGGTTTGTGAAGTGCGGTAGAGCCCCGCCGGTACTGGAGGTCTGGGGTCGTGGACCCCGGCCAAGTCCCAGCAAGCACGGAGGTTCAGGATGTCACGGAGGGCGCGGGGCCCTCCACCACCGTGACAGCCCCGGCCTCGCAGTTCACCCTGCTGGTAATGCACCCTTGCGGCGTGTCGGACGAGGCCGCGGCTGAGGACGTCCTGAGGACGGCGCCGCCAACGGCCCCGCCAACGGCCCCGGCGGCAAAGCCCGGCGCGTACCCGTGCGAGGTAGTGGGGGATGCTGAGGACGAGGCCGGGGAAGACGAGACCGACCTGCTGGACACCTCAGACCCTCCGGGGGGCGGCGAGAGCACAGCTAGCTTGGAGGACCTGGAAGATGAGGAAGCACACTCCGAGGGTGAGGCCGGCAGCGGGGGACCCCGGAGGCGGGGCAGCGGCGGGGGCAGCGTGAGCAAGACCTGCACCTACGAGGGCTGCAGTGAGACCACGAGCCAGGTCGCCAAACAGCGCAAGCCGTGGATGTGCAAGAAACACCGTAACAAGATGTACAAGGACAAGTACAAGAAGAAGAAAAGCGACCAGGCCCTGAACTGTGGTGGGGCCTCATCCGGTGCGAGCGCGGGAAGCGTCAAACTGGAGGTATTGCACCTCGCCGGGGTCCTTTGGAGTGGGAGGTGGAAGAAGACTCACTCTTGCTGCAAACCTTATTTTCAGGCCCAGCCCAGCTGCTCCCAAAAGTGCTAGGTTCCCGAGTGAGACTCATGCTGAGAGGGCGTACCTGCTGTAAGTTAGAATTTATAGGAACGCCTGCAAAGCCGTAACAAGTCGGTTGCACCCTTGTGATAAGTGAATACATTTCAGTGAAAACGATGTGACACATCAGCAAGAGTTGTCGTTTCAAAGATGTGGGACGGCTGATAATAAATGATTGATCTGACTTATTTCTGAAGGAGCAGGCAGACTTTGGACCCTAAAGTAAATTGGTTAGAGAAGGGAGTCACCTCTTTTCAGTACTATGTTCTCACTATCCCTATTCTTAGTACTCTGTTTGCAGTGTTTCCGCACTTAGGACCCTGAACTTAGAACAGTGTTCTCAGTACTTTCATGATTCTTAGTACTCCGGTACTTAACATTTTGTTCTCACTGTCGCTGTTCTTAGTACCCAATTCTGGCTACTCCTTTTCTTACTGAGAAGTCTCAGATTTTTATGTTGTTTTTATTTGAGCTGTGTTGAAGGTTAAAGTCAGGGCTCTTGAGTTAAAATTGTGATTTGAAATCCCCACTCGTTTGCTGGCTTTGTGGCCATGAACAAATTATTAACCTGTAAATTTTGACTTCCTCTTCTGTTGGCATTAAAATAGTACCTAGTTCTTGTTGCTGTAAGTGTGTGAGATATATCCAAGTGAATGTTCACACTGTCCAGCCTAGTTCAACTCAATAAATCTAGCCATTATTGTAATTAGTAGTAGTAGTATACTTCAGAGTTGCTACAGATAACCAGATATCTCATCTCGTATTTCCTCCTTTTAATAAAAGCTAATCTCAGTACAGAGAATAATTGGATTTAGTTAAAAATGAGCCAGAAAATAATGTTTAAACTGTTTTAGGATGTATTCTAAAAGTCTTTAAGTGTCATGAACTTGAACAGCTGTGCCATTACTCAAATTTTAGACATTGTAATTGTTTACACACATATCCTAAATATCTCTAAAATCTACAGTCATCAACATGATAATTCATATTGGTTAAGGAATGATTGATTTCTCATTAGTGTTTGGGCTATAATCCCAAATGTTGAAATCTTGAAAGGTCAAAATTCCTGAAATCTAAAATCTTGAAAAATCAAAATCTCAAAAATACAATTCTGGAAAAACTGACTTTTAAACATTCTATATGAGACAATTATATTTTTAAAAGATTTGCTAAACGTGTGAAAACACAACACTTCATAAGTCACTTTATACATTAAAGTAGCCAATAAAATACATTATTTTTATAGATGCTTTTTTTTTTTGGTACCTGGAATCGAACTCAGGACCTTGCCCTTGCGAGGCAGGTGGCGGCACCACTGAGCTAAATTCCCGGCCTAGAATACATTGTTTTTAAAATCGTATGCATCAGTGTGCTGTCAACAGTTGCACAAGTAAACATAGAAGTATATGAACCATAGTCATAAAGAAATAGGTAAAAAGCAGAATGTATAAATACATATCACTGTGGTTGGTAGTATGGACCCAGCTTTGTAACTAGTGTTGTCTGAAATACTCTGACAACCTAAGTCTTCAGGTGAGGTCACACTATGTATGTAGTTGGCCAAAGAGCTGAGATCTTGAGAAATTTTCACAAATGCAGATATACCTAAAGGTTATCTCTTCATTTATTAAGAAAGTTTCAATGTTTTTCTTTTTTTCTTCCTTTTTTTTTTTGGTACGGGGGATCAAACTCAGGACCTTACACTTTCGAGGCAGGCGCAAGCGCAGTGCCACTGAGCTAAATCCCTGGCCCTCAGTGTTTTATATACATACGTAATACTTACAAAATTATTATGATAATGTATTTTCATGCAGTAAAGTTTGCAAAAAATGGATAAAATGATTAGAACTTTCTAAAAGTCTTCACATAGTTTATATTTCCATTATTGGAAATGATGCAGAGGTGAAATAATACAAGGAAATCTTCACTCTCTTTACCTCACCTTTACTCCACTATTAATTTGAGACCCTTCAAAAGACTGAAGAATCCAGGTTGGGAAACCTGGAGGGAGCAGGAATGAGGAAGAATATTATATAAAATTAACTGCCAGCCCCTCACCTCTGACTTAACAAGGGCCTATCCCAAAATTTTACAGGAACTGGGCAAAAGGAATAAAAGCAAAGACCTATGTATGCTCTGAAATGCCCATTATTGTGTATTATTATGTTGTGTTAACTATTAATCTCATTTTGTTTTACCATTTCTCCCAGGAAAGTGCAGATAACATACTTTCCATTGTCAAACAAAAAACAGGATCTTTTGGGGATCGCCCTGCAAGGCCTACTCTTTTAGAACAAGTGTTAAATCAGAAAAGACTGGTAAGTTGTCTGCTTGTAGTTATGAATCTATTAATGAAGATGGTTATAGATGAAACTGTTTTGATTTTTAAGATTTTAAAAAACCATTAACCATCAGAATTGAATTGTGCCTCTTTGACAGTATACACTAAAACCTGATAGATAAGATACTCTTTCAAGACTGTTGGAGCAGGAACACTTTTAGTCCTGTTTCTTCTTTACTGACCAAACTTTGACTATCTGAGCAAGCTGGCATTTTAAAACAGACTTCTTGTACTGAATTCTGAGGTTTGTGGAATAATGCTTTAATGATATAGAGCATTAGACCAATAGTTAATCTGTATTATAAATTTGATAGAAGACATAGGAGTTCATCAGAAAAGGAGACATTATTCACTAAATACTAGAATAATTGGATAGTAATTTGAGGACGTAAAAGAATTTATTTCATCACCTCACACCCAGTATTCATCAGAATAAATTCATAGTAGTCTTAAAATTTTTAAAAATTGACTGAGGCTTTATCTCAAAAATCTGGAAAGAGATTTTCTAGCTTAAAAGACAGAATCACACAGAAGGGACTATAAATTTCACTATATAATAATGAATGTGGTGGCCAAAAATGATGCTGAAAATCAAAATGCAGAATAATGTAGGAAAAATAATTGCAATGACTATAAAAAGCTATGATTAAATGGCTTAAATATTTATTGTATAAAGCACTGATTCATTCCTTCATTTATTTTACCAAGGGGGATCTTGCTTGTTGCTCAGTCTGGTCTTAAACTCCTGGGTGTGGGCTGAGATGATTCTCCTGCTTAAGAATCCCAAGTAGCTGGGCCTATAGCTGCATGCCACCACGCTGGGCAGAACATTTCATATGATTTTGTGAGGAAAAAAGTTTGGCCTCAATACATTGCAAAATATATAAATAGAAAAAAAGTGGAAAAATTACCATTAAATGACATAAAAAGATATTAAGTATTAGTAAAAATGACACAGCAAACAATAAGCAAAAAATATTTAAACACATAATTGTGTGAAACTTTATTCCATAAAATGATTGCATCCTGTGTTGGCATGGCACTTTTACAAGGTAGTCAGGCAGCATATATCAGGAGTCCTTAAGATGGTCATCCCTTTCAACTTAGAAATAAAACCTGAAGTTAATTCTAAATATGGATAAAGTGTAAGGATATTGCTAGAAATATATTGATTATAAATAGTAAAATAATAATTGAAACAACCTAAATGTTCAGGAATCTCATTACAGTTAATTAGATTATTGTGAATCTGCTTAAGAGGATGTTGGGCAGTCTGTAAAAATAATTTTGAAACAAAACTATTTAATATATAGAAAATGTACTATAAAATAATAGAGTGCATAATAAATTTTAAATCAATATTTAATAGTTTTCCCGTCTTATTTGGTTTATCTTTTTCAACTTATTGAGACCATAGTTTTTGTTATGAATTTATACAAGTATTTTCTTACAGTAAAAATATTAACCATAGTCTATTTGTTATATGATGTGATCTATATTTTAAAAATGGTACACATACAAAAAACACACTGGTTATTTTAGAGAAGTTAAATTTTTTCTGAAATTTCAGTAATGTGCTAATAGTAATTTTATGTTTATATGTATAAGCATACTTATACATGTGTACATAAATATGTATTTCTTTGTTCCTTCATGAAGGGTTAGACTAGTAGGATAAACTTGAATTTCAGTACTAGTTTTTATATATCTACAGCTTGACATTTAACTCTTACTTTCACATCTGAACCCTTTTTATCTTGCTGTAATCCTTGTCCAGCATTCATTTGTTTGCTCTTACATGTTTCAAGGGAATATATTTGCTGACATAGACTGGAAAGCATTTCCTTTGTGTACAGAATCACCAGGGATGTCTGGCTTCAATCATTATTTTTAAGTTTTAGTATTGTGCTTTATGATATCACATTTTATTATTTTATTAATTGCAGTAAGGCCTGTTTTATTTTGTAAGGACATTGTATCTTGTGTAGGGATACATCAGAATAATTCCATAGCAGAAATATAATCGAATCACATCATAAATCTGTGAATAATTTTTGTTGTTTTTTCTCTTTTAAGTCATTGCTAAGAAGTCCTGAAGTAGTGCAGTTTTTACAGAAACAGCAGCAACTACTAAATCAGCAAGTTTTAGAGCAAAGACAGCAGCAGTTTCCAGGAGCATCAGTGTGATGGAACTTATCAAGAACCTTGACAAATTTTTTATTGTAATATATGAACATATTTTTATACCAAAGATAAATGGCATGAGACATGTCAGTAGAATGTAAACATTTTCCTGTAAATGTGTGCATTTGGGTATAAATCAGTATTGCACATTTTGTTTATAATCTTTTCAAATCGCCATGGGTTTGACGAAATCAACTTATCTTCCCAAAATAACATTGAATAACAGTTTTTTTAAAATACATCCTTCAGTCACTGTTCCTGAAGGTAGTGAAGCAGTTACTTTCTGTGGAAGTTGTAAAGTTAATAGATAATAATTTTGAGCCATCAAGCTCAAAATTGGAAAGGTATGGGTATAGTTTTTGGTTATCATAGTGAACTTGAAAACTGCTGGTTTTAATGACTGGGCCAGGAATGCCAAATGTTCTGTAGTGACTGGGATAATCCCACACAACTAAAAATTATCTCCCCAACAATTCCAATATCACTCCTTTTAAGAAAACCTGATAGCTATTATTCTGATTACATGTAATTGGAGCACCTGGAATCAGATTCTTATAACCTTTTTTTGTAGTTAACACTGAAGCTGTCAAAAAGATAAACATTTTATATCTGTAAGGAAAGTGATCATTGGTCATTGTTTATCTGTGAAATCAGAGATGTACTGGTAAAAATCTAAAAGAGGAATTAAATATACCAGAATGAATGTCCATCTCCTAGAGCTGGCTTCTCAACTTCGTGTGACCTATTACTATTGTTCTTAGAGCAGATCCTCTGATATGCTGAGTTTGTGAATAGTACAGATGTATCTTAACCTACCAATACCAAGATAAAATTATTTTCCTATCATTATTTTCCATTAAAAGAAGATCCTAAAAATAAGAATAGCACTTTACCGTATTTCCAGTGCTTTTCAACATTGAGCTGTTTTACAAACATATTATTCCTAACCATTCAATAATGATGGGTAATCTGGACATTTTTTTCTTGTGTTTTCAGCTAGGAAAACTTTAAAAAGGCAAACTCACCAATAATAAAGCAAGTGTCAGAGAGTATATCCAATATTAGAATAATAAATATAATGTGTCTCAAGATGAACTGTACAAAAATTTGTTAGTTTCTTAGATTTTAAGCTCTGAAATACCTGTCATGTTAAAGTTAGTCATAGCTGTTTTAATAAGTATTTATGGGGAGAAAGAATGTTTTTCATTTTTATGTATGTTTTATATTTGCAGATAAATCTGCAAAAACACTTTTGCCAGAATTATTCATTAAAATCCACTTGTTGACCTTGGAGTTGTCCAATTTACTTCATTTTCTTTAGTTAACTCACACTAGATGCAGGGGAATTCACTTACTATTTGTTACCATACTTACAGTATTGGAAACATTAGAATCCCTAGAGCTTAAGTTAACTTTTGTGGTGAAAAAAGTTAGCTTACGCTTTGTAAAATGAACTAAGTGAAATGGGAACGTAATAGGCCAGTGAGAGCTGAATGAAAGGGGTTGAATTTATGTATTTATAAGAATTTAGAGATGATAAGTCATTAAATCCTAGCCTAGATCATTGAGAGCCTCTGAATCTTTTACCCAGGGTACTTTTTAAAATACAGTACAGTAGCTGTCCATTTATGAATTTGGATAAGAATATGACAGTTTGGTGCCAGGGATTTAGCTCAGTGGTTCCACCACCTGCCCTGCAAGCGCAAGGATCCGAGTTCGATCCCAAGTACCAAAAAAAAAGAATATGACAGTTTAAGGTATGATTTAATTATGGTCTGCCACACAGGAATTCTTTTCCTTTTAATACTATCAAAGCAATAAGGTTTTTACTTATTTAGTATAGATGTATTGCAATTTGTCCCCAGTTTTTCATTCTTCTGTGTTCTCAAGGCCTTTGCCTTGTGACTGCAGTTTCTGCCACCCAGGAGGCTGAATTACTTTAGCTACCCCTTAAATCTGAAGGACTGGCCTGTGACTTGTTTTGGCCAATATAATGCAAAGGAAATTACTGTGCCAGCCCTGAATAGACTTCTGATAGTTTTGAGCATTTCCACTTGTGATGTTAGACTTCTACTGTGCTACCATGGTAATAAGGGCAGTCTAGCCTGCCTGATGAGAGACACATGGCCAGTCACCTCTACTGTATCAGCTGATAGCCAGCAAAAAGCCAGAGGTATGCAAGTGAGGCTGTGCTACAAAAGCTATTCTCCCAGCCAAGTCTGCTGACTGCCAATAAATTTGATGCCTCAAATCAGCCAAGCCTGTCTTTCGAGAACCATCCTGTTGTCCTGTAGATTTGTAAGCAGTAATAAGTGCTTATGATTGAAAGCCACAGAGTTTAGGGGTGGTTCGTTATGTAGCATTCAAGTTATAGTAGGTAACTGATACACTTAGTTATAGTTATTCTTTGCTGCATAACAAATCACTGAAAAATTTGGTGGCTTAAAACAATGGCATTTATCACAGTTCTGTATATGATTACTATGGTTTTAAATAACATGCACATATTTCCAAGCTAGGCATGCCACATGGCACAAAGATGACCACACAGTATCTCCCACCCCATATTCTGTTATGCAATATGACCTATTATGATCTGGATTTTATTTTTCTACCTCTCTGAATCGGGGCAGGGACTATGACTGTTCTGACAGAATATAGCAGGAGTGATGTCCCATTTCTGATAAGAGAAAAGAAAATATAGAGAAAAGAAAATGTATAAATACAGATGTGGATAGATGTAATCATAACAACATGAAGAAATTCACAGCTTCCATTGTCCAGCGAAGTTGGGATATAAATAAATATCAATAGTAAAGGTGATTCTCATATACCGTGCCAAAGAATCAAGACACAAATATTGTGTGCATGATTCTGTTTATATAAAGCAGAAAATCAGGTGAAGGAGGACTCTTAACAACAGTGGATTTCCGGGGGACAAGGTCAGGCCTAGAGGGGGCGACAAGAGGCTTCCAGTGTCATAGCAGTGCTCTTGTTACACAAGTTGATTGTGCATGTGCATTCTGTTAAGAGAAAGTTCAGCCAGCTGTGCATTTTAAATTTTTGTATGTTTCAATATATATTTTGTATTTCAACTTTTAAAATAGCAAGAAGTTTTTAAAAAAAGACTTTCAACTGCCCTTGGAGCTAGGTATGACATTGGAGTATAACTGGCCAGTGGAATGTGAGCAGCAGCAATATATGCACCTTCCGATTTTAATATGTGTGCTACCAAAGCCAGCATTTTCCATATGGTTCCCTTAAGAGCAGCCTGCTTTCCCTCTTCCTCCGTCCTGCTGCCTGGAATGTGAACAAAGCAGTGGAACATCCATGGCGGAATGTGGATTCAGGGGAAAATGGAACAAGATAAAAAGAAACTGTATCCTTGGGTGGCTGCAAGGAGAAGAGCCTCATATTTTTACGAGGTGAAAAAGAAATGGAATGTGTCACTTCTGACTGGTAATTAGGATGTCAACTGCAACTGTTACAGTCAGTGAAAGCTATATCCTAAATAATACTACGGGTAAAACAATCGACTAGTGGCATTAAAGACTTGAGCTCCTGAAAACTAGGAATTTGTCATGGCAACCTGCAGTTATATGACACTATTTCACAGGACTCCACCAGCCACTGTAGAGGAAAGATAAATTATAGGCTCAATCTGGGGTTCATTTACTGGAAGAAGGGGATCCAGAGGTTAGGAGGTTTTTAAGAGTACTTTCCTGATAGAAGCGAAAGTTCAGGCTAAGCAGACGAGATGAGGCCAACAAGGACTATAGCTTTCTGTGACCTTGCAGTTCAAGTGTCGGAAGAGTGAGAGCATGCAAGATATTTAATCTAGGAAACTGTGGGCTCAGAAAGCATTAAGGACTGCCCCAATTTTTACTATACCTAATAACAAAATGGTATCAAGAAATCAATAAGATGGCCCTTTGTTCAGTTACAAGACCCTTCCCAGTCTTCTGCTTGAAGAGTTTGGTTTAGGAAACAAACTAAATAAACAAGTCCAAAGGATTTAATGACAGGAGTGTCAACCAGGGAAGGCTCACTTCAGGAAGAGGACCAAAGAAATTTGCTTTAGCTCATCAACTAGCAACTCTAGTATTGCAGAAACTTGATTTTAAAGAATAGCAAGAAAGAAAAAGGAGACAACCACCCAGCTGGCCCTCAAAAGAAGTAGCTCCCAAAAGAGTTACTTGCCAATAGTAATAGACTGTAGGTGAACGTGCAAGTATAAACAGGGAAACTGCACGGGGTCGTAACAGTACTAAAACTTATATATAAAGATCCGCATATACACATGCTTGTATGTAGAATCAGAAGTTGCTTTTTTATAAAGGAAAATAGGGGCACTGGTGGTTTGGGGTAGGTGGAGGGGTCAGGAGACAATCCTTTATTGAAATAAACCTATTCTTGAATTTTTTTTTTTACCATGTACATATGGACTTTTCAAAAAATATCTTGTTAGACATTGAGAGCAGTAAACACGTTGTCCTTATAATTACTTCTCTTTTGCTATTTGGGTTTACAGAAAGAAAAATACTTTTATTAGTATTTGAAACTTCTAAGTAAGTAGTATTTGAACCTTTTAAAATTTGAACCTTTTGAATGAAAAGATTTGAATTAGTGCACCAGTAAATCATATTGCTTGTACTCAGGTTTCTTTTTTTTAGATCTCTTCCATTTTGTTTATTTTTTGTTTATTTATATACATATATGTGGTACTTATTTATAGTGAGATTTGCCTCCTGGGGTTTCTTACCTCCATACTGAGGTCCAAAATGTATACATTACTTCTCTATTGGAGGTACATAAACAAAATATATTATAAAGGCAACATGAAAATATATCAATTTTCTAGCACTTTATGGTTTTCAAAATAATCCTGTATATCTAGATGTTCTCCATAACAAACCTCTAATGCATATACAGTAATTATTTTATAAATAGAAGCAGGCTGACAATGGTTGTATTAGCTGCTCAGGCTTGGAGAGCTATTGGAAGTAAGCCCTGTCATTCCAGTTTTCTTCCTGCACACTGTGGCGGGCATTACTCAGACTAATGTAATTGGCCCCGTGCACCTTGCATTCTGGCAATAAGTGTGCTATAAGAATAAAGCTTATGTACAAATTAAGCTTTGGTTTTTGGAATGTGTTAAAAGATAATTTTATTTAAACTAACTCTAATTATGTTGCTTTAGAAAGCATTCATATGTGCTAATTCCTGCATGACAATGCAAGTATTACCACCCATTTTGAATGGAGGAGGAAACTCAGAATTTAAAATGACTTACAGGACAGGTCGTTACCCTGTTAGAGATAGCTAAGATTTGAACCTAAATCTTCTGTCTCCAAAGACAAGGATCTTTCCCCAGTAGTGTGTTGTTGCTACAATAAGAACTAACACTTTCAAGTGCCAGTATCACACAGTACACATCTCAACTCAAATATAAATATGCTTTTACTACATTAAATACACCTGTATGATCATACTGCAGATAATGAGGTTACTTTTGTAAATTTCCCCCCGGGGTTTTGTTTCTTTTTTCTTTTCTGTCTTCCATGTACTGTCCAACTTCTAGCTAACCTTTGTCATAACCCAATGTATATTTTCCATGCTTATGAAATTTTATATATATGCACCATGGGGCACGTACCACATAGCAGTCCCTGCGAGGCTCTTCTGTGGACAGTGCTGTCATCCCTTTAGATGTTTTTTGTTTCCTTTCAGAAAATGAGGGTACCTAGGGATTAGAGAAACTGATATTTTCTTAAAGATCACCTAAAATTGTCTGCTAGGAAGGAAACTCAAGTCTGCTTTTAGCAGGACAGTCCTCAGAGACCCTTGTTTCCATGATCCTATTGTACTTGCAAAGCTTGCCTTTCCTAAGTATCATCATACATATGACATCCTGCCTGTCCATCATGTGCTAGTTAGCAGATGCTTGCAGCCAGGGAAATGCTTGTCTGTCTTAGTTACTTTTCTCATTGCTGAGACAAATACTTGACACCCAAAGTTAAAAGAAGAAAGGTTTATTTAGCTCACAGTTTGTAGAGGTTTCAGTCCATAATCTGCTGGCTCGAAGATAGGTTGGCACATGGCAGAGGGGCAACAGTTCATGGCACTGGAAAGCAGCAAAAGGAAGAAGAGAACTTAACAGCTTTTGTGCCCATTGTATCTTACCCAGACTACTTAGGGAAGGTAGCACTCACACCCTTAATCCTAGTGCCCTTGAGCCTAGCATTGCACCATGAATCAATTGCACACTCTAGAGTCAGCCACCTCTAAAAAAG